TTTCTTTCTTTCTTTCTTTCTTTCTTTCTTTCTTTCTTTCTTTCTTTCTTTCTCTTCTTTTTTTTCTTCCTTCCTTTCTTTCTCCTTCCTTCCTTTTTTTCTTTCTCTCTCTCTCTCAATTTCTTTCTTTCTCTGTTTGTTTTGTTTTTTGAGACAGGGTTTCTCTGTGTAGCCTTGGCTATCCTGGCCTCACTTTGTAGACCAGGCTGGGCTCATATCGATCCACCTGCCTTTATCTCCCTGAGTGCCTAGTTTCAGCATTAGCATTTTTAAAAGCTAAACATTCAATTAAAAGTTCTCTAGCGTTTAGATCTTTAATTGCTCTACTTAGAGCTGTAGTTAACCTTTGCAGAAAGTCAGTGAAAGAGCTATTTGAACCTTGGGTTATTTTTGCAGATGATTCAGGTCGTCCCTGTTGTTCAATCTTGTCCCAAGCACGGAAGGTTTTTGTACAGCATTGTTCTAAGGTGGCAGCATCAAGCATAACCTGCACCCTTAACCCAGCTTACAGACCTTCACCTATGTTATCCTTGACAGTCTCAAAGCTGCTAGTCCTATTTCGTTGCTCCATAACTGAAGCCTCAGCTTTCCACCATGTTAGCCATTGTAGTTGGAGACAGGTTCTAAGATGACTGACATCGAATCTCTCCAGTCTTTTGGAATTACAGGATTTTGTGTGGCCTACTTATTAGGTTTTATTAGATGTCATAGTGAATGTAAGCCCAAAGTCGTTACTTCTTCCTCAAATCTCTTTAAGACTTGTGCCTCTGTGGACCACTCCTCAAATTCTTGATAACCTTGTGGATTTTCTTCATCTGGATCTAATTTCCTTATCATGATTGAAAAAAAAAAATTTAGATTTTTCAGTGGATTTACACTGTCATTTTGCAGTCTTGTCACAAGGTGGTGCTGTAGGCTTTAGATTAGATTCATCTGAAAAAAAATTTTTTTCATCAAAGGATTGTCTAATTTTTGTTCTGTTGTTTGTAACATAGCATAAATTTTTCATCCCGTTTCTTATCTAAGTCTGCTTTATACTGATCTCTGTTTCAAAGGATATATAAAATTACAGTCATTACTGGAAATATAATTATTTCTATCCTGATAAGCATAACAAAATTATTCGGGGTCTAAATGCCCTCTGTAATTGTGTTTTCCATTTTTACTTGTCTTTTTTTTTTTTTTTTTTTTTTCTTTTTCTTTCTCAAGACAGGGTTTCTCTGTGTAGCCTTGTCTGTTCTGGAACTCTCTCTCTGTAGAGTAGGCTGCCCTAGAACTCAGAGAGGCAGGTGGCTGCCTCTGCCTCCCTGAGTGCTGGGATTACAGGCATGTGCCACCATGCCCAGCCTGTCTTATTCTTTTTAATTTAACCCCCTCTCCTCTCTCTAGTTTTTGGAGAGTAACTCTCTTTTTAAGGACTTCCCAAGGATCTTACCCAGTGACTCTTCAGCTTTCCCACCATCTTCATGTGTCTGCAGCTAGTGTGATTTTTTTTTTCCTTTGTGCTATTAAGCTTAGCACCTAGTGGTGACTGCAGGCTCCACCCCCTCAGGTCGCTTCAGCCCTCTTCCTGACTCTAGCTGCAGATTTGCAAGCTAGGATACCCTTGCATGTTACATACTTTGTTTGCCTGCTGTCAGCGCTGGCTCAGTATTTGGTGACCAATATTTGGTGAACAGTGTTGGGTGCAGTGTAAGTGTAGCAGTCTTAGTGGTAAACAAGCACAGGGGCCTGCCTCTGAGCTTATGTTTTTGCCAGGGTAGGCACTGAATATTCTGTAAGTCTGTGACATGGCAGTTGAAGAGGAGACAAATGGAGGCAGGGTATAGGCCACAGAGTGCCTGGCAGATGCTATTTCCTATTATGTTAGGAAGGCAATACTTCTCAGCTGAAGTGCCATTTGAGCAAAGGGAAGGAGTAAGCCTTGGATGATCCAAGAGAGATTACAAGACAGCACATCAGTTTGTCCTCTCTACAGGAGGGTTATTTTGACTTTTAGGATATATCCTCACAAGCCATGTTTATACTGAACATGGTAGCAAGTGCTCAAACTGGTAATTTTCAAAGAAATTCTATGTTGACTTTGTTGATAGAGGTTCTCCAGGAGTGTGAATAAGCTTCTGCATTTATTAGATGAGAGCAAGTATGTTGGCTGAAATCCTGATTTCTCATGCCAGCCTATCCTGTCATTGTCTTTATTTTTTCATCATTAGTGGTGTTTTTAAAGCAATAAAGTAAGTTCTATGGAATTATATATAAGCAACATGAAGTTATATATTGCTTTATGTAAGTATCCAGGGCATATTTCCACTTCCTGAGATTGACTAGGATTTAAATAATGAACTCACCTTTTAACAAGAAGACTTGTTGGTTTACAATATCTCATTTTGGAACATTTTTGTCCATGTGACTTAGTAAATTTTCGTAGATTAGACCAGCTTGCTGTGGTTCAATCACTGGTATTTAAAACAGCACTTTACGTGTGAAACTTATTTGGATTATTGTTAAAATAGATATAAAATAGTACATCCTCATTTCCTTTCAGATGTAGTAAAAATTATCTTAAAGTTTTACCAGCTGTTTTCTTCTGTTATTTTAGGAAGGATTTTTGCTGGGAGAGGTAAGACAAGAAGAAACTTTTAGCATCAGTGACTCACAAATCAGCAACACAGAGTTTCTGCAAGTAATTGGTAAGCTTGTCTTTGTGCTTGGAAATATCTTTTTTAAATACAATTTTCATTTTATGTATATGGATATTTTGCCTACATGTATGTCTCATGTACCATGTGTGTGTCTGTTGCCCTTGGAAGCCTAAAGACCTTGAAGTCAAAAAAGGGTTTCAGAGATCTTGTAATTAGAGTTACAGACAGGTGTGAGCCACCATGTGGTCTTGGGAATCAAACCTAGGTCCTCTAGGAAAGCAGCCTTAACTGTTGAACATCTCTCCAGTCCCAGAAATACCCTTTTCAAAATGTGTACTTGTTTGTTTTGTTCTTTGGTTTCTAACTGACTTTAAATCAAAGTATTACAAGGAAACTTGGAGTGTAGCTCAGTTGGTAGAGTTACTTACTAATCATGAAGCCCAGGGTTAGATCCCCAGTACTGCAGAGAACCAGGTGGCTTGCATATACCTGTAATCCTAGCACTCTGGAAATGGAGGCAGAAATATCAGGAGCTCTTGAAAGTTTGAAACCAGCCTGGGTTATTTGAGCCCTTGTCTCAAAGTTAAATATGTAAATAAAGTGTTAAAAAGAATGCACAGAAATTAAATTATATGCACTAATACGATAACTGGTGAGATGGCATGTAGCCATCTGCAGATCCACATGGTGGAGAGAATTGGCTTCCACAGATTATCGTCTGATCTCCACATGCTTGCTATAGCATGTCTACCCTCCCCACACAAATAAATACATTGAATAAAAAAAAAAAATAAATGGTATGAGGAAGTGGAGAGATGGCTCAATGGTTAAGAGTACTTATTGCTCTTCCAGACCTATGTACAGTGGCTTGAGGCTGCCTGCAACTCTAGCTCTGTGGGTTATAGTGTACTCTTCTGTTGGCACAGTCTCCTGCACTCAAGTACTCAAGTGTGCTTACACACACATACATACGTACAAGCAATGAATCTTGTTTTTTTTTTTTTTTTTTTTCCCTTTCAAAACAGGGTTTCTTTGTGTAGCCCTGGCTGTCCTGGAACTTACTCTATAAACCATACTGCCGCTGTGTCCTGAATGCTGGTATAAAGGCTTATGTCACCATGCCAAGCCTAAAGTAAATCTTTTAAATTTTGTTTTTATTTATTTTTAGGTTTTGTGTGTGTGTGTGTGTGTGTGTGAGAGAGAGAGAGAGGGAGAGAGAGAGGCTTGCCTGAATGTATGTCTGGGAGCCACAGGTGAGTCTAGTGTCTGCCGAGGCCAGAAAAGGGTGTGTATCCCCTAGAACTAGAGGTACAGATAGTTGTTAGCCATCATGCAGTTCTGGGAATTGAACCCAGGTCTTCTGAAAGAGCAGCCAGTGCTCTTAACTGCTGAGTAATCACTCTAGCCCCGTAAGTAATTTTTTAGTTATTTATTTATTTAAGTTTTTCAAGACAAGGTTTCTTTGTGTAGCTATGGCTTTCCTAGACTGGCTTTGTAGACCAGGCTGGCCTTGAACTCTCAGAGGTCCTCCTGCCTCTGCTTCCCCGAGTGCTAGGATTAAAGGCATGCTCTACCACTACCCAGCTGTAAATTTCTTTTTTAAATAAAAATAAATTACATAAGATGTTATGTCATAGCAGTAAGTGTGGGTCTTCTCTAAAGCTGTTTGTTGCGCAGCAACTGGTCTGACTTTTACTGCGTCAGGATGTGACTACTTGATAGTCTCCTCAAAACCACAGAGAACCTGAAGCCTATGGATCAGTCTGTCCTCATTGCTTATTGCACCTTCAGCTATAATGAATGAAGGTCTTGTCTTAGCCTTTCCTAGAAGGATCTGGCAAAGACAGTTCCACATGCTCTTAAGATACTTGCTAGACCACCACAAGAGTCCAGGGGATTCAACAGTCACTCTGGGGAAGACTGCTGAGAAAGAAGGAGGAGGGTTTAATCAATAGCACAGTCTTTTCAGGAATACCCTAACACATCACCAAGTGGCAGTCTTGATAAGCAGAATAAAACAAGGGATGCTTTATTTCTTCATATAGCAAGTGTTTTAAAGATCTCTCTCTCTCTCTCTCTCTTGCTCTCTCTCCCTTGCTCACTGTCCAAATTATGTGTATGTATATATATGTACATGTGCCTGCATTAGCTCATCCCAGAGCTGGAGTTACAGGTAATTGTGATCGGAACAACTAGGGTCTAAACAGCTCGTGCTCTTAACCACTGGGTCTTCTCTTTAGCTCTTTTAAATAAAATTGTGCATGATGGGGGAAGCATGCCAAGGTCAGAGATCAACTTTGTGGAATCAGTTCTCTGCTTCCTCTTTTACATGGGGGCCAGGGTTCACACTTAGATTGTCAGGCTTACATGCAAGCATCTTATGCACTGAACCATCCTGCTAACCTTACTGATGGCTCTGTATGACTGAGGCCTACGCTAAGCCAAGAAAGGGGTTCTTAGATACCTTTCTGCCTTCCAGAATGAGGTGGAGGATATGCCAGCACAGGATGAAGCTATAGAAAAGAAACCAAACCCCTTAAGTCAAGGGACAGACTGGCAGCAGGAAACCAATAATGGCATCATGAAAGAGGAAACATAGAATCAGAGGGCTGCACATGTGAGGGAACATTGAACAGCGGCTGTATAGAGCACACAGAGAATCTGCCCTGTTTCTGTGTAAATGAAACACGTAATTTAAAGTGAAGCTGAATGGGGATTAAATCACCAACTGAAATTTATTCTAATGGCCTCTACTACAGAGAGTGAAGATTAAGTAAGAATAGGTGATCTCTCTGCAAGAGTAAAGACTGGAATAGCATTCACACGGTCCTTGCTGCATGCAAAGACAAGTTTTGTGTGAAGGTTTGGGGTTTTGTTTTACTTAACTCTTTAAAATCCTAAAAATTCGGCTGGCAGGATGGCTCACTGAGTATGAGTGCTTGCTACTAAGCCCAACAACCTTAGTTTGGTTCTTGAAATCCACATGGTAGAAGGAGAGAACCAGCTCCTGAAAGTAGTTCTTTAACCTCCACACCTATGCCATCGCATGTATAGATGCACACACAGACGCAAATACATATTAAAATTCTAAATAGTAGAATTTTTCTTCATAAGATCTCTGTGTATGTAGTTATTTATTATTTGTACCTAGGTTTTAAAATTCATGTAGTAAATAAAGGTTAAATTGATAGATGCAAGGCCAGTAAAATAATCCAGTAGACAAAGGTACTTCCTACCATAATGTCTTGAGACTGACCCCTGTACCCACATAGTGGAAGGAAAGACTAAATTACCCTCTGATCTCCACACATATGCCATGATGGTTGCAAGCATACAAATAAGTGTTTAAAAAAAAAATCTAAATTGCCAGGTATAGTTAAGTGAGTGCAAAAATTGCATTTCTGGTATCTATTCAAGTACTGGAAGTCAAATCCAGGGCCTCCAGATATATTAGATGGACATTTCATTCCCCCTGTGAACTACATGCCTAGATCTTGTCTGTGGTGTGCGGGGTAGTTTAGCTTGAGGATGACCACTTGTTCAGAGTTCAGAACTTGCTCCAGTGCTTTCAGTGAACAAAACAGTGTTACCCTTAAAGTAAAAGATAAGCTCTCTGTTTTTAAAAAACCAAGTAATGTTTTTGCTACCCGTGTTCCACATCTCAGTGGCTAACAGTGTCGGAAATAGCTCACGATAGTGCACTGTATCATTTTAAGCATCAGAAGAAGGAAACGTTATAGATGGGATTTTCTTATTTACGTTGCAGTATTGATGCCGTAGTGAAGTAAGTGAGCGCTTCTTTTCAGTGTCAGTGTTAGCTAGTGAGAATAGCTCTTTCCTTGAAGGCTCTGGTTTTATTTTAATTGAGGTAAAATTATTGCCTAAAATTCCAAGGCTGTGTTTTTTTAAACAGCAGGTGATAAGTCAGTCTCTGGGAGAATTTGGTAAATAGAATTGAATAGTTAATTAGTCTCATGCTCTTTTAAAAAACCAGCCATGGCCCCCTGATGAGCTAGAAGACATTGTTCATTCTGCTTAATCCCAGCATCTTTTCAGAAGCTGCTAGGATCTGTCTTATAAATGACTGTTCCCTTAATACCAACCAGTTTTGAAAGAGTTAATGGACATCCAGCATTCCAGACACCTGGCCCAAGTTGTCAGACATCCTTAGAAGGTTATTAATGGTAGGAAAGCTGGGGCCCTGCTTTTCCAAAGCTGTCCCCACAGCTTTTATCCAGTTTGATTAAATGTTTCCAGTCAGTGGCCACGTTTTCCTGTGATGTTTTGTTTAAATAGGTAAGATTGAGTAAGTTGTACAATAGTTGTGTGTTCCTAAATAAAAACTGTCAGATGTGCACTCGTCACACAGGGACAAGTGGAAGCAGAGCTCTCACTCTCTAGTCTGCTTTGTTCTGAGACTCTGGGTGCAATGGGAAGCAGCCACACTGCCTTCATGGCATACACATGGCATCTGATTACAAGAACAAATTGATTTTGGTTATCCTAAAGTTTAAAAAATTCCTGAGCTAGGGGCTCAGCTTAGCCCCAGTGGTTGAGAGCACTGGCTACTCTTAAAGAAGCCTTGAGTTCAAGTTCTAGCAACTACATGGTGACTTACAGTAATGGAACCTGATTCCATCTTCTGGTATGCATGAAAACAGAGCACTCATATACCTAAAATAAATAAATCTTAAAAAACAAATCTGAGGTATGTTATTGTTGCTTGTATCTTACATGGTTAACTGGGTTGATTTCCTTTATCTCATTACAGAAATCCATAACCATCAGCCCTGTTCAAAACTCTTTAGGTAAGCCACATTTGATTTTGTAGTTGTTGGTTCTCATGGAAAAAGTTGTTTTAAACCAATGAAATTAGGCCTGTAACTAATAAGTATAATTAAGGGTACTCTAAATCTATTTAAACATTTTTTTCTGTTTGTTATTTTTGGGTTTGTGTGTGTAGTTGTTGTTTGAAAAAAGATTTTGCTGTGTAGCCCAAGATGGACTTGAACCCATGATCTTCCTTCTCAAGTGTACTACCATAATTATATTTGAGAGACTGTACTTGAGTGGGAAAAGGGAAGAGAGGGTGTGTATATCGTAGTGTCAGTGGTTTAGAATGAGTCTTCCTTTCAACCTCCCTGTCAAGGTTTCTTTACTTAGAGAAGAAAGTTAATCAAGGATTATATGTAGATAAAATTACTTCTAGAAATCACATATAGATATAAATTTAATTTTTGGAAAAATTAAATAAAAGAAGCCAGGTAATAGTGGTATATGCCTTTAATTCCAGCACTTGAGAGGGAGAGGCAAGTGGATTTCTGATGGCAAGTCCAGTGAGGGCTACAGTGAGACCTTATCTTCAAAAAAAAAAAAAAAAAGAATACAAGCTTTTCTTTTTGTGTTTAAGTTAGTATATAGCAATTCTGTTATGTGGCCACTGAATGACAGAACCTAATGAAAAAGACATTCTGAAGCAAAAAAGCAGCAGTGATACCTGAAGTGAAAAGTAGATAGTCCCCAGCTCCCACCAGGCCTCTCTGATGTATTTTGACTGGATGAATGGAGAGTCTTGCTACATCTTCAGTGCCCTGTCTTCTTTCTTAACCCATACCCTTCCATCAAGGACTGAGATGTGTATTTCAGAAAATTCCCCTTTTCTCCTAGAAGCCAGGCCAGTGCTTTCCTTCCAGTGCACCCACATATACATTATTCATTGATCTTTGAGGCAGGCTCTCATGTAGCCCTGGCTGACTTGGAACTAACTGTATAGACCAAATTGGTTTCAGACAAGCAGAGACCCTCTTACCTGTCTCCCAAGTACTAGGATTAAAGATATGTGCCACCATGCCCATCTTTTCTTCAGTGTTCTTGATGTTCATGTCCTTCTGTTGTCAATACCTTCTAGTCACTTTGCCTAGTTCTTCCTGCTATTTGTCTCTTTCTATCTTTACCCTGACCCCTCTGCAAGCACCTATCCCCTCCTGGGGACTTCTGTCATCCTCACCCCACACATACACCCTTATTCCTTAGTGATTTCAGAGGATTGTCAGTAAGCATTGTGGCTGCATGTAAATGAAGCCAAAAAAGAGCCACAGACCTCAACTCTTTCCATTTCCACAAAACTGAAAGAGGAGCAAGGAAGCCAGGTTTTGGTCCATACATTACCTCTACCTGGGTATGGATGTGTCTCTTCTGAGCCTGACAGAGCTTTACTGGACATGCTCTGTCTCAACCTTCTGAGTAATTCCATAAAATGTCATGAGTGCAGAACTTTTAGGGCAAGGAATTGACTCATGCTTAGAATTGAAGGATATATTAGAAATTATGTCCATACTTCAAGCTTTTTACTTTGCAAAGCAGGAAAGGAGAGCAGGTCGGGTAGTAATCTGTTCTAGATCCTGCAGGGAGAAATGCAACTGGGCTGGAGCTGATCTCAGAGTCAGGTTTTCCCTGTATCATGAATGCCTTCCTGCCTTGGGGGGCATTTCTAAGACTATAACAAGGGACAAGGAAGGGCCCTCCTGTCAGTATACCTGACTGGTCGTGTTGATTTGTTTTAGAGGTGAACATATTGTTTGGCATGAGACAGACTTGGCTTCCCATCCAACTGCCTCACTAGCTGTGTAGTTTGGACCAGTTGGTTAGCTTTGCTGTCTCTTTCTACAAAAACAGCAGAAAGCCTTGTTGAATTAGGATGAACTCATACCTCAGCACTGTGGCTAGAACATGCAATGAAAAAGCATCCAGCTGAGGGTCTTTTAAACATTCCACAAATGTTCATTTCCTCTCATTTTTCAGAAAATGAGTTGCTGTTACCTTTTTTCATAAGTAATTGATACTTAGAAACAAAGTGGTGGAGCCATTTGAAACCACACATTTTGTAATTACTTGATTGCTTCCCACACATGGAAGGAATGTCTTTTGAATGAAGCAATCTCTTGAGTAGTATTTGATACAAAATGTAGTTTCCCATCAAGAAAGCACTTAGGGCTAATTTCTGTTTACTAACCTTTAAGTAGAAGCAGTTGCATCTGTTAGGATCAGATGCTCTGTAGGCCCCTGTAGTTATATCTGTGTCATGGTACTATAGCATTTTAATTAATTTTTTCCTTCTTTAAAAAAAAACAGTTTTTATGATTATGCAAGCAAAGTGAATGAAGAGAGTTTGGACAGAATCCTTAAAGATCGGAGGAAGGTATGTTTTATGTATTGCTTGATCATATTTGGAAATCATACTCTAGCATGCAAAAGGAAGAACAACTAAAGCCCATGATACCCAGTGTTTGTTAAGTATTTGCTAGAGATGAAACCCAGGGTTTTGTGCATAATAGGCGAGTGCTCTGCCACTGAGCTACACCTGTGAGTAGATTTTAAAGTCAAATTACAGGTTTGATATAATGTTTACACTATATTATTGGGGGAATGAGTCTTTATAATGTGATCTTATTTACTTAAAATTTGGACTTTAATACAAAAAAATTAACAGTATTCCAAATGACTCTGGATGGTTCATTCATTTTAGTTATTTTGAAAAATAATTTTGTAGATTTGTGATTTTAAAAATATTTTAAACTTATCTAACAATTTCATACATGTGTAGTGTATTTCTTGATCCAGAATAATAACATGGAGACTTCTTATTAGTACAAAAGTTTGACCTTAGCTTAGGCTCATTCCCAGCTAGCTCTTATAATTTAAATTGACCTTAAATAACCTTAAATTAACTGTGTATACTAATCTATGTTCTGCCACTTGACTTGTTACTGCTCAGTCTCTTCGTCCCAGCACCTGCTTCTTCCTCCCCATCTGGATGGCAAATCCCCATGCCTGTTTCTTTCCTGAGTTCTTATCTCTGCCAAAAGTCCTGCCTAGCCTCACCTCCTTTGCTGTAGGTAATTCAGCTCTTTATTAAACTAATCAAAGGTGTTAGAGGGAGTATTTACAAAATATGATGCAGCCATAAGAATAACAGTACCAAAGTCAGTCTGTACCCAGCTCTCTGTTGGTACAGAATCAGCATTTGAATAATACAAAGATAACCTTTACACAGTGTGCAGAAAGATCACCCCCGAATCTCCCCCTTTTAGTCCAATAAAAGGCTCTTTCTGTAACATCATAAACTATATACAATAAAAACAATTATGAGAACTACCAGGTAAGAATTACATTCACAATGTCCAGTCCATTTGTATTTGACAGCTTGGAGAAAGTACTCCATTATCTATCCTGTCTTGGTCAATCCAAAGTTCTGTACCTAATTCATTTTCATAAGCTTTTATATCTTCTAACCTCTATAACTTCTATTTGCCATCTGTAAAACACCTTCTTACACCTTTCAACCTTAATAACTTGCATTTATCAACCTTTAAAAGATCTTTTTAGACTTTAAAACATTTTCTTAGATCCTAAACAACTTTAGTTTTTATGTCTCTCAACCTTCATAAACTTTACATCTCTTTTATGAGTTTCTTTTCTTTTCTGAATTTGGTAACAAGGAAAATTTTAAGACTAAACTATCTAGTCTTCAGCCTCATCAGAGACCTGAGGAGCATAAATATTACCAGAGTAAACAGGAAGTACAGAGCAAGCAGCTTCCAAAACTAAAGAAATAACAGAGGCTGCTAGCTGCCTGGTCAGTCAACCAAGATTCCTCTGCAGCATTGGAGGATCCATCTTTTCAGCTTACTGGCCCAGATTATCTGTCAGATTTTTCTGTGAAGCAGGAATTATAAAGGACTTCTCTACCTTGTCCTGGCAGAGCTTGGCAGTTGACTTTCTTTGTGTCCTACTTGACCATAGCTTGAACAGTATGCTGTCAACACTTGAGGCAAGGGCAGTTTTTTTGCCCAGCGGATAGCATTGCCACATTTGAAGCAAACTCCATATGGAGGTTCTTCAATGCTCATTATCTTGTCTGTCTGTCTGTCTGTCTGTTTGTTTGTTTGAGACAGGGTTTCTCTGTGTAGCCTGGGCTGTCGTAGACTTGCTTTGTAGACCAAGCTGGCTTCAAACTCAGAGATCTTCCTGCCCCCACCTCCCCGGGTGTTGGGATTAAAGGCATGTGCCACCACTGCCTGTGTAAACACACAAACTTTTAAAGGTAATACACATTTCTGCACTGACACATGTATGAAATGTACAGTGTGCTAATCATCAGCTGAAGATGACTCTCTGTTCTGTGTTTAAGCAGGAAAAAGGTATCAAACTTTATTAAGTCCATTTGGACTGTTTAACCAAACTGTAATATAAATTTTAATCCTTGACATTTGAAATGATGGCATGTAATAATAAATCATGGGCACTCTGTAGCCAACAAATTGGATACACATAGATACTCATGTCTCAGCCAGTATCAGAGCTGTTCCCACATAGCAGGATCAGTGAATATGTCACCTATTTTGTTCTTAGGTTTTTCCTTCATGTCTGTAGCCAAGATTTTTAGGAGGTCTCCCCAGGTCAAATCTGCTATTTATTAGTTTCAAACACAGCTTTTCCCTTCCTTTTGAAACAAAGACATAACCTCTCCTCCAATGCAACATATTTCCTGACTTCAGGTAGCCTATCTTTAAAACATATAGGCTGGTTTAATTCAGCAATCCTTTCTAAAGTCCAGTGTTTTTCAGCAGATGTGCTACCTGTCTCATTGACATTTTAAAAAATTTAAAGTTAATAAAGTGCCATGTAATCTATCTCTGGGAGGTGGGTCTTTGTTACCCCTTTCTATTTATTAAGCATCTCTTTTAAAGTACTGTTAGATCTTTCTGTAACTGCTTGTCTTGTAAGATTGTGTGGTATGCCTATAATAATGCTTTATATTGTAATATATACAAAAAACTGTTTAGTTTTACTAGAAACATGCTGGAACATTGTCAGTCTTAATTTGTATAGGTATCCCATAATAGGTATAACTCCTAATAAATGTGTAATTACACAATCAGCTTTTTCAGAACTTAGAGCAGTTGCCCATCGATATCCTAAATATGTATCCATGGTATGGTGCACATACTTTCAATTTTTCAAAATCTGCAAAATGAATCACATCATTTGCCAAATTTCATTTCTTTGGGTACCTTTAGAGTTACTTCCCATAGGTAATGGAGCTTGATTAGACAAAGAACAAGTAGGACAATTTTTTATAATTTCCTTGGATTGTTGCCAAGTAATAGAACAATCTTTCTTCAAACTTATGCTGTTCACATCATGTTTCTTATGAAATTCTCAGGCTTCTCGCACATTTCCCATTAATAGCTGATTAATTTCATCATTATTTTGTGCTAGAGGGCCTGGCAGACCTGTATGGGATCTGATCTGTGTTATATACAATGGATGATTTCTATTTCTGATTAGCTGTGGTAGTTGAATAAGTAGCAAAGTTAATGTTGAATCATCCAGAATAAGTTCAGTGGTTTCAATATGTAAAACAATATCTTGAGAGTCAGGTAACTATATTAAGACATTCAGGAGAATCTAATTAAACCATAAGAATGGCATACAGCTCTGATTTTTGAACTAAATCATAAGAACTCTGAGCCACTTAACTTACTTTTCCTGACCTATAACTTGCTCTTTCTGGTTTATTTATGTCAACATAGACTGTAGCGGCTCCAGAAATTGGTGCCTCTTTTACTATGTGAGGAAGAATCTAATTTATGGACTCATTTTTCCTTTCGGAATCAATCCAGAAACCTTTCCTACGTAGGTCTTTTAATTTTTTGTGTGCTAAAAATATCCATCCTAAGATATTATCTTCTTTCTGCATAAGAATTCTTGTGGGAGAATATGTAGAAGGCAAAATAACTAAAATACAGTCCAGCTTTGGATTCAAACCATCCACATGTACATCCTGTAATTTCTTTTTTTCCAGAACCAATTCTTTTTCAGCATCAGCTGATAGTTCGTGGACTATTTAAGTTCGAATCACCTTGTAAAGTTTGAAATAAATTACTTAGCTCTTAAGTAATTAATCCAGTTGTGGACCTTAGCCAATTAATATCTCTCAACAATTTTTTGGAAATTATTAAAGAGTTTGTAATTGATCTCTCCTGATTTATACTTTCTGTGGTTGGATTTTTTTGTATACCTATCTTAATGTCCTTGCTAATTGTTAGAATCTCCTTTTTGTATTTTTTAGGAGCAATTTGTAATCCCCAACAAAGCAAAATTCACTTCATCAATTTTTTTTAATGTATTTATTTGCATCTGAATCAGCCAATATGATATCATCCGTAAAATGATAAATTATAGATTGAGGAAACTATCTACAAATTATTTCTAATGGCTGTTTTTCAAATATTGGTATAAGGTAGGACTGCTTAGCATTCCTCATGGCAAGACTTTCCAATGATCTCTTTGTTGGACAGCTATTATTATAAGGTGGGTACTGAAACAGCAAACCTTTCCCTATCATGTATGTACAAAAGGATCATGAAAAAGCAATCTTTTAAATCAATCAGTATAATAGGCTATACCTTAGGTAATAAAGAAGGCAATGGGATTCCTGGCTGCAAAGAGCCCATTGAGTGAATCACCTTATTTGTGGCTCTTAAATCTGTTAACCTTCTCCACTTTGCAGATTTCTCTTTAATAGCAAGTATAGATGAATTCCAAAGACTAGTACATTCTTCAATGTGTTGAGCCTATAGCTGCTCTTAGACTAGCTGTTCTAGTACCTATAATTTTTATTTTGTCATAGGCCATTGTTCAACCAAAACAGGTTTGTCAGTTACCCATTTTAAAGGTAGGGCAGTTGGTACATTTGAAAGACCCAACACCTGTCATGTCCTATTTATGGACAACCTAGACAGTCTGTGACTGTTCTTAATAACACCTTTCAATATTTTTCTTAGAAGCATTTTTATTTTATAGTTATTTCTGAGATTGAAGAAATGTTAATCTGTGTCTTCCATTGCTGCAACAAATCACATCCCCATAAATTCTTTCATTCCCTGAATTCACATACGGCTCTAATTTTTCTATTTGACCTTCTAGTTCTATGCATCTAAGCCATATCACATTTTGTTTTATCTAAGTAAAGTTTCACCCCTTAGAAACTGAATATCTATCTCCTGAAGAAGCCAGTCTGGAGGCCAGGATTTTGATGATATTGTCTTTACATCTGCTCCTGTGTCTACCAAGCTTTCAATTTCAATATCATTTATAAATATATTTTAGTTTTGGCCTCTGATCATCTGTAGC